TGTCCCTCTGGTAGTTTATAGTCTCTGCCCTACATGGCCACAGCTTCTGGAATAGCAACTGGCATCTGATCTGACCACACAATCTCTCACCCACTCGCCTGCTCACTCACTCGCTCTCTGAAACACTTTCTCTCTGTGAGAATGATACAAAAATAAGAAATGACACTAATACACAATAGGACCCGAAACTCGTGAGAGTCAAAAATGAGTCAAAATCTGTTTCTATTTCAACAAATGGTGAAAGGAATTGCTTAGCCTTTTAAATATGCAAGAACACAGTTTTAAAAACTGATTTATGAGATTGATATTTTCTTGCAGCACACACAAATCCAGATATATGAGAGGTCATAACATAACAGAGCTATAAAACATTCTCGCTTCACAAAATCTCACAATACTGAGAAAAATATACCATCTTAAATATATGGGTCATTCTCCGGAAATGCATTAAATATTTTAGAAAAAAACTATATATAAGTATTCATAGGAGGTATGATATGCATACGCAAGTATATAAGAAGTTATAAATAAAATAATGACTACTGGAATAGGTTTTTACAAAAAACAAAGTTTTTCTACTTCAAAATTTCATATTTAATTCAATGCACTACTTTCCATTTGTTTGAAATTATTTGTGAAATTTACTAGCAATTTCTAAATGAAATTTGTTTTTACACTGAATTTGTTTTAGTGTAGGCAGTGAAAGCATGCTATTTTCATTTCAACATATACCCAATTTAGTTAAAAGTCATTAAAAACAATTCAAATTATATATATTCTTTCAAAATGTAGTGGTGACGAATGGGAATATGCAAACTGGTTCATATTTTAAAAAATACAAATTTAAAAATAAAATCGTTTTATTTGAAAATGTATTTTGCTTCACATGCTAAAAGACTATATCTTGTAAATCATATTAGCAGTGAGTCATGCGGAAAAAAACGAAATGTGCAAAGTCAAGTCAAATAGATTTCTGTGCAAATGTCGACAATCTGAATATGATCTAAACTTAAAGTGTGCCAGTGAATTTTGGCATTGAGAACGACTGCCATGTCCTCATGATATCTGAGCCTTGACCAATAGATCAGTTCACACTCAGAAGCAACGGAAACATTGTAACTCAACTCAGCGACAGAAGTAGAAGCGGCCCTCACAACAAAAAATGACTGGCAGAAAGAATCGTCTTCATACCACCACAGGAACAGACGTTAACTTAATTTGATCAGCGATGACTTTTCCCACATGAATAACCATTTGTTAGCAAATAAGGATCTTTATATCTCCCTGTTTTACAGTGCAGCTAGCTGTGTGCTGTATGTGTAGGTATTGTTAACATCTTGATGCATGTCAGAGATCATTTGAAAGTCAGGGTAATGTATGAAACTTCTGCCCTCCAAGCAGCAGCAAAATATGTTTCTTATAGTCTTAAAATAGGCATACTTTTTTCAACCTTTTAATAATATTCCCCATATCGATTGTTATATTTGCTTTGAAATGGGTCATAATAATTATTTTCAATCAGTGCAACTGTAATTGGTATTTCCCACTAAATAAATACAAGAATGAATCAACATTTACACCATTTTTCTTGCATTAAAATGTCTTAAAATGCCACGTGAGGACTTCCTGACACTTTTCAGCGATGAATCATATAAACATAAATATATAAGATTTAACCAGAAGAGACTTAACCAGACAAATAAATAGCAAATAAAGATTGCCACGACACTCAAAATGTTGCTATATTTCCAACAAAACAATCACAACTAGAAATATTTCCTATATAGTCATGTTCTACAGGCATAAAAACAGAAACAAATGCAAATTGATCTTCCTTAAATGTGTTTTTTTAACACCATTATAGTGATTAGCGTTCCCTTTGGTTGGGCACTTCGTTTATGTTATTATAATTGTCTTTCTGTTAATGCAGCAATGCATTATGAAGTCAGAGTTACTTGATTTCAAGGGAAGAAAAGTAATAAATAGGTTGCATTCAGAAGGTGACCTCTCTTCTAATTAATGCTTTAATGTGGTTTTTTTTTTTTGCATGTTTTTTAATGAACCTGTTCAAATTTCATTTTTCATGAGTACCTTGAGATGCTTTTATTTGGGTTTATATAATCCTTAAATAGTGTGTGGTAATATGCTGAAGTCACACACGGACTTAAACATTCAGTGTGTGAATCACAACAATGATAACGATTCAATTTCATTTATTCTCATTAGTTGTAACAATAACCATTTTATTTGCTCTTTTTGTTGTGCTACTACTGACACAAGACAGCAAGTAAAATTGGCAAATAAATGTAACAACTGTAAAACAAAGCAACTGCATAATTTATTCATACCGCAATGCACTCTGGGAGTCAGTGAGTAGCTATACTAAGTCATGACTAAACCTAAATGAAAGGATCAAGTACCCCCTACAGTTCTTTTTTAGTTACTAGAACTCTCGTGTAAGTAAACTATACTAACTAAGCATTTGTCAGTACAACATAGTATTCCTATTTCACTTTACTTCGTTTTTTCAAGGCAATCAGTTTGCATGATTTTTTTAAAGTAAGCCCAACTAATTAGATTTTACAGTGCAGAAGTCAATATATATATATATATATATATACTGTATATATATATATATATATATATATATAGCAAGGATTGCACACTTAAAATTTAACAGTGACGTTGACAGTTTAGCTACATTAGCAATAGCTTAGCTGCAGCAACAACAAAAACAACGTCTTAAAACGCTTAAGATCTCTTTTAAATGTTTCACTATTTGTAATAAAATCTATATTTTTTCAGTCATAGGCTACAGGGCAGTGTGATATCAACTATTTTAAGCCAGATTGTGAGAGAATTTAAACACACAGCATTGCTCAGAAACGATTCGTCTATTTTCTGCTGCCTTTTGACAGATATCAGATGAAACAGCATGTTGACAATCACTTTATTACAGGGACTTCTGTATATGTGCGCTGTGGAGCTAGAACAGGTGCAGAACCTCCACCCCCAAGCAACCCCCATATTCGTTTCATTGCAAAATGATGCACTTTCTATATTTACGCAGTGATATCAGCTCCTTATGCTGATCTTACATGCCTGAGGGATGTTTAAAGACCCTCTGCCATGCACTCAAGTCTGAACCCCAACTTATAACCTTATTGAAGCCTTTTATCACTGCAAAAAGATTAAGTTAAGAGCTTATATTAGCTTAGCTTTTCTTATAAGCTTTGTGTTATCGATTGGCATCATTTGATCAACTCAATAGTCTTCAACGTTTAAAAAAATAGTGACTTGCATCTTTTCTTTTTTAGTTGAGAGGTGGGAACACATAAAAGTCTATGGTGTACATCCTATGAGGTGCTGGCTATGGAACACCACCGTGTGCACCTTAAACATTTTCCCCACTAGTTTTTTGCTAGCTGTCAAATACAGAGGGAGCAACTGGCTGCACAGGCAAAGGAGCTCAGAAAAGACGGCATTAAGAATGGAGGGAACCGCACGGGAGATGTGGCGGCAAGGCTGAGGAGTATTTTTAGGGCATGTTTATTCACAGACTGAAATGAACCCTTCTTGCACTTCTCTTGCTCTCACACCATCTGTTGAAGTCTTTCAGCTTTGTCAGGTCTAGCCAACATCCCGCAGATGTTTGTGAGACACCTTAATGGAGAGTACCTGCACAAGCAATGCTTTTTCTACATCATGATCGATGCCATTTCTTGCAAAAACCTGTCCCCCGCCCCCCAATAAAAAATACAAGACATTTAAGAATAATGAATATGTTCTTCTTAAAATATATATGTACCGATATATACAGTGTGTGTGTATATATACCTTAACAGCTACCTAAACCAGTAATGACCATATGACAATTTTCTCAAAATATGAGCATCTGATATACAAGGTAACTTGTGAACTCAAAGGGTCTTTTTCTTTCTTGATGTGCTCAACACCTCAAATCTGTAGTTTGCAGACAGAGATCAACCAGTTGTTCTTGGCTGACGTCACCTCACACCGTGGCACGAGCTCCACTGACAGCTATTAAACGTCGCCTGTCATTTCTGTCAACCAGACGATCTTCAAAAACGTATTAACTTCTCTACCTTCACACAGAAAAGCCTGCGTTTTGACACTGAAGAGCAACTGTGTAATCGTTTAAAGCACAGGTAAGTTTAGGAAGTACCCATTTTAATGGATTAAAAGTACGCGCGCTTTTCTGAGGTAATTTTAAAACTCTAGCGAACGTCTTAGACATTGTCCGTGTTCGTTACTGCGATTAGTAACACGATTTTAGAGACTCGTATAACACATAAAGACCGTATAAAATTAGCCACAAACTTAATGAGGAGGGCGGGGATGTGGTAAGACTACACAGAGGAAAACTGCGAATAGAACCAACAGCTGTACAAGATGTAAACTCGCTTGTCAGCTCGAAATGACAATAAAATATGATTTAAAACGTCTCTACATGTTGAATAGTATGTTCAGCACGATTTCCTTCCTTCAGTTTGATGGGTAATCATAAAAACCGTTGCAATACCAGTCACTACAGCTATTCTTACTATAAAAGTTTATAGTAAGTTTAAGTTTAGTAAGCTATCAGTGTCTTCATATATTGGAATAATTACTGTAGTCACTATAGCATTTCAGCTAAAGCTATGGTTATATAAAAGGTAAATACAACAACAACAACAAAATCTTGTCGTCTCTACATGTTGAATAGTATGTTCAGCACGATTTCCTTCCTTCAGTTTGCTTGGGTAATCATAAAAACCGTTGCAATACCAGTCACTACAGCTATTCTTACTATAAAAGTTTATAGTAAGTTTAAGTTTAGTAAGCTATCAGTGTCTTCATATATTGGAATAATTACTGTAGTCACTATAGCATTTCAGCTAAAGCTATGGTTATATAAAAGGTAAATACAACAACAACAACAAAATCTTGCCCCCTCAAAGTGACTATTGCAGTGAGGTTCAGCAGTCATATGAACATACCTTCCTCTGCTGTTTCTCCCAGGCAGGGTCCAGCAGAAGGTCCCTGTCCCAGTCATCCTCCTGAGTCATGTAGCCTTCCGTAGTAGACATCATGTAGGTGTTGTCATACTGCACCTGCGTCTCAATAACAGTCGTCATCTTTTAAACTTATCCCTCGAACTCTTAATAATTAGAAGTTACGTGCCTTGCACTTTAGATTGTGAACTCTAAATCCTGTCCGTGTGTTAGAGGAGAACACCCGCTCAGTGTGTATGACCGTGGAGGAAGAGGCCAGACTCCACTCGTCTGAGGTGCCTGTGTGGAGGTGCAAGCAGAACTTCTGCTGCCCAGTGCTCCTATCCTGGTCAAAAGTAGCACACGTGACTGCACCCCAATAAATAAGAGAACTGGTTGTGTGGGTGTCGGATTATGCTACCTAAAAGGTGTGAGAGGTGGGACACTGTTCACTGGGACCAATAACTGGTGGCTCTTTTAGTGAAGGGCAGGGAAAGATCTCATTCACGCCTCCTGGTTCTCTGCACTTTGCTATGAACACCTGTTGTTCTTGGCAGTAGTCTATATCTACTTACCCAAGCAGCAGTTCTGGGGCCAGTTTAAATGACAACCAGCTGACTGCTATGGATTGAAGATAGGTGCACAAGCAGATCCCAGGCCTGTTAAAATCCCTGACTGTATCCCTCTTAAATACTAACGCCTGTTCCTCCTCTATACAGTCACTGCTTACTACACACAATAGTGATTCTGTAATAGGTAAATTAGAAGACCCATTCCAAGAAAAAATGTCTTATGGAAAAATGTAAAATATTACTTAAAAAAAACAACACTGAGAGATTGATTCGTATGCAATCCTTTACTTAAAAAAAGAAAGAAAATTAAATCATTCTTTCTTTAAAAGGATGACAAGTAAATGAGCACAACATAGAGTATGCTGTCATAGTTCTAGTTTATTGCAGTAAGCATGCGATGCCAAACAGTGTTCATGCAGAAGCTGGTGTAGGAGAGTACACTTTATCAGTCGCAAGGTTTTTGCAATATACACACATTAACAAAGCATGCATATATTCATTAGAAGGTGATAAAAACATTACAACCAGCTCAAATCCTGTCACCTGCAATAGAAATTATTCATGTTTCATACATGAATTATAAAAATTAATCACTTTATCTTTCAAAAGTACTGGAGTAGCCTTTTCACTCAGTAGGGGATATCCATATAAACAATCAAAGTAAAAAAAAAAAAAGAAAAATTAAAAAAGAAAATACTACAGTTTTCTAAATATAATTGGATACAAACACTAGAGGTTGTGTTATTGTTATTGTCCAATTTAAACAGAAAGTTTGACGATATCTAGGGAGGAAGTAGACAGAAAAAGAATTCGGTTATCCATTGAAAATTTTGGAGCGTACCATCTAGATTCAAAGAGACTTCAGCTGGAAGAGCAAGTTGGAGAAGAAGGTAAGTGATTTGTTTATGAACCAAGATTCTGTATGGAAGGTTCTTCTCAAACACCTCTGATATCTATCTGCCGCAGACATCTTTCATCATCAACGGATGCTACGGACATCACGGAAATATGTCAAGCACAAATATCTGCAAGCCAAAGATTTTAATACCACTAACATTGGGAGTACCAGCTACTGGACAGTTCCCTTTCCTCCAGAATAAGATCTAAAACTGAGGTCATCTCATCTTTCCCCCTCAATTCTACAGGCAAAGTTAAACAAACACTACAGACAAGAAGAAATTCAGATGTGTGACAACGTATGTGAAGATGCTACATCATCATCAGAAAAAGCAAGTAGAATCAAGAACAACAGCACCTTCTAGTGAAATAAATCACACTTCACTACCATGCTCCCTCTGGAGGAAAGGTCCTGTTAAGTATCCCTCAGGCAGCTCAGGTTCAGCAGTCTTATTTTTTCCCAGTTGAAGCTGCTTGGTTTCTAGGACATTCTTCTACTGGGTATTTAATTTAACCAGGTAGGCGATCTAAATCTGTGCCACCTACTTATCGTACACTCAGCTATTGCAAACACAAATATCGTAACAGACTCTCATTTAAACAGGTAACACAAGGTAGCTTTCAGATTAACTTAAAGTAGAATGTCTTTTAATCTGACAAACAGAAACCAAATAAATTTGGTAACTATTTGGGATGACTATGCCTAAGCTTCCACTCAAGAATTGTTGTCAATCTTGGAAACAAAAGCAGAAGTTTATAATAAGAATGCTTTGCTGGGTTGCGGCTCAGCAGTGTAAGACAGTCAAGCAATGCTTGATAAGGGTTGTGAGTGTCACTGAGTCCAAATGAGAGTCTTGCGAATAAAATTTTGGCCAGTGTCTCCGGTCCAGTCACAGAGCTTTCAGGGATGCGTTCAAGCAGTGGTTAACACTGAACAAACGTAACAACTAGCACTGGGGATTCGACGAGGGCGGCGGTGAGCTGGACGTTAACGGCGAGTAGACTCGAGGAAGCCTGGGGGCAAGCGTTAAATCATATAAAAAACAAAAAAGGAATGGAAGGGGGGGCCAGATGAGGTCGACGATACTGACTCACAATCACTCACCTTTGTCACACACCTTTATCAGCCACCCTTGCTAACTTGTTTTAACGCTCATTTTACACAGTCTTTCAATCATTGACCAGCAATTCCACACATTCAATTGCTTATGGACACATTATAACCACACTCTCTCCAAAGCTAAACCAACAGATCAGTTATTAGAGCACCAAGCACCCACCCATTATCGAGACACACTAACCACAGAAGCAGTAAACGGTCACTCCCGCCACCCCCCTTTTTGGCAGTGACAGAGAGTAGCATAACACTGGTGTTTCGAGAACCAATTGGCTATGGCAGTGGTGACGAGAAGTGAGGAATCTACAAGAGGGGTGGGGTGGTGGTGAGGAGAAATAGAGCGGATACACGGTCAGGCGCAAACGCTATTGGGAAGGACGACAGGTAGAATGGGGCGAGGCACAGTGCGTTTACCTGTATGGAGTGAGAGAGTTTTCCGTGCATTGCGCGATGCTAACTTTCTTCCCCCAAACCAGCTCTGCGTTTGGTGTCCACAGTTCCATAGGGACCTAGTTCAGTTGGAACAGTCAGAAAACGTTTGTTTTTGGGGGTGAAAAGAAAACAAAAAAGAAACATGCACAATGGAAGCAGAAGTGAGCGAAGCCTTGTGGGAGATATCTTGAATTTACAATTGCAGCCCCATCACGTACCAAGGAAATGCAAACAGGTTTTACAGTGTGGGTGCCACCTAACACATATCAGTTTTACAATATGCTTGCATCATAACAGCATGTCAAGGACAGTCATCATTGTACCACACTCCAGTTAAAGAAGCTGCATGGGGACTATGTGTGATTATAAAGTACCAAAAGCTGGGTTGAAGATTTTGCTGCTCCTGGGGAAGGGGCTTGGTATGGTATGTGCAGCTGGGGGGTATAGAGTGGGATTGCCCCTAGACTTACCCCATCCATAGAGACAGGGGTGAGATTGGGATCAGTCTCATGTCCTTTAGCTTCTTTTCAGGGCTCCGATTCATACGAGTCTGGTCGTTTCACAAAGGAAAAACAATTATGAAACATCAAAAAGCAAAAACAGCTAAAGCTCCAAGCAAAAGCTCTTGAGTTCCCTCTTTAAATGATCAGGCAGGCTCTTTATTTGAAGGCTTGTTATAGTCGTAAAGATCGTGTAGAGATCTTTAAAGTCTTCTCTTCGGAGAACACTTGCGGCAAGATCAGTTACCATGATAGAAACTACAAACATGAATGTCGATGCAAAACGTTTTCTAAGATCACATTCACATTCACACACTGGCATCCTCAGCACATAGGTGCGAACAGGGGCATGGTAAACGAATGAAATACTGTTACTAAATGAGAGGCAGATGCAAAGAGAGATGAAGAGAGATGCAGTGAGGGTCATCTATGGAGTTGCAGCAGCGAAATGAGCAGGAAGACTGAAAGAAACTGATAGGAATCTCCCAATTCATTTAATACCAAATCACAGCACCACAGAATATACAGCACTTTCGTGTAGCCTTAATCCAGTTTCACTTTATAAGACTACAGATAAAAAAAACTGCAAAAATGTAATACATTTTACTACTAAGGCATAAGGCCACTAACGATTTTGGCTGTTTTTCTAGAAAAAAATTTAAAAAAGAGAATTTTGGCTATAAACAATCACGGCGAAAAAGCCACAAGAAAGAACATGTTCTCTCTCTTGCAGCTGTAAACAAAAGTTAACAATCAAAAGGAGTATGTCTCTTTAAATGGATACTTGAGTCCCTTATCACTCTTTATAAAAACATGATAGCATTAATAAAAGACACTTTACAAAAACAGATTCTACAATGCATCATGGCAGTTAAGTTGGCGAGCTTAGAGTCAATCTATAAACAATCACGGCGAAAAAGCCACAAGAAAGAACATGTTCTCTCTCTTGCAGCTGTAAACAAAAGTTAACAATCAAAAGGAGTATGTCTCTTTAAATGGATACTTGAGTCCCTTATCACTCTTTATAAAAACATGATAGCATTAATAAAAGACACTTTACAAAAACAGATTCTACAATGCATCATGGCAGTTAAGTTGGCGAGCTTAGAGATGCTCCCATAAGACAGATCACAGCAAAAGCTGACTAGCTACACCTTCCTCTGATTGGTTGCTTCCCATACATCACCATATCTATGGAAGTAGCTACATTAAAGTTGGAGGGGAGAGAAGTTACAGTGTCTTTCAGCTTTCAGGATGGGTGGACAGGGACGGAAGGGTAGGGTTAAAGGTCATCACTAAAGTTTCTCCCATCTGAGGTGTAAGGGATGCGTATGTATGTGCGTGTGGATCGAGGTTGCTTCCCTGTGCATGTGTACACGTGTGCGTTCCTGTCGTGACAACCAATGGAAAGCATACACGCTACACCACAGTCCCAGAGAAAAACAAGAAACACACACAAAGACATGTAAAATACTGTCCAACCCTGGTCCTACACTTCACACACCTTTGGAGTAAACATACATACATACATTCAACTTATTTAAACATTTTTGAAATGCATTGAAATCTAACTTCTTAACTATATAAATGCGTAAACTGGTAAAGTTCATATAACTATAATCAAGCAATATTTAAAAATATCAAGTCCAGTATTCATTCATAGACTACAAACACTTAAGAATATAAAAGTTAAAAAGCATCATGACTAGTGCCTAATCTACCCTTCAAAATTAATTGGCCATAGATTGAAGGTTTCTTTAAACAGACAATGTGTTACATTGGTTAAGTGTGCAGGAATGAGAGCATGCAGTTTCCCTTTTCAGCCCTGACTACACTGGGTGTGTTTGAGATCAGAACCAAGGTTAGAGAATCCAGTCTGTAGTTAAAATCGACACAGCCACCGTCTTAAACCCAAGCACGCACACGTCATAAACATACACCTGTGGCTTCTTTCTGACACACACACACGCAGCACAAGGAAAGGAGAGGCAGAGAGGACGTGGAGCACACTATCGGAAGGGTGTTTCAGGGGTGTGTAGGGCGAGTTCGGAGCGGCGGAGGAGGGGCTCCTTGTGCGACGGCGGAATCGGCGGTGGCTCATACACGCGGGGTGTTGCCATGGCAATGGCGGCAGTGGCAGGCACGGGGGCGGCGGGCAGCACTGGCCTGAGAGAGTCGAGCGTTGCCTGAGTAGGCACACCAGACAGAGTCGACAGTGCTGACACAGCCGCGAGATGGTTGGGAGATGGATACGCGTACTGGTACTGTGGATACTGCTGCAGCTGCTGGTACTGCTGGTAGTATTCCGCGTAGTATCTGGGATAAAGGGAGGAGAGGAAACACACATGCACATCCACGCAGACAGGGAAAGAGAGACAGAAATCACACAGACATGCATATTCAAATGTATTTATACACCATTAGATAGGGAGAGAAACACAAACACAGAAACACATTCACAGGCAAACACACAAACACACATCACCACCACTGTAAATCGGTTCTAAAACAGCCAACATTTTGAAATTGACCAACTTTTGCTGTAATCATATATTATATCTCTTTTATTGCAATCAACTCACCTGGCTACAGCGTCATCCTCCTGTGCGGCGACTTCCTCTCGACCTGCAGGTGTAGGCAACAAGGCTCTGCGCTTGGCCCTCTGGTACATAAATGGTTTCATAATAGGATCAGGCAGCAGTGGGGCAGATCTTCTTAGCGGACTCCGGTCCCTTTCTCCAGACTTTGAGCTCGCCTGTTGCTCTGCTAGCACTTGCTGGCCTTGTGCAAAGTAGTGCGCCCTTGCTGCTTCAAAGAAAGCTGCTGAGTCAGCTGCCCCAAGAGCCCCGTAAGCTGGGGTAGCGCTGTAGAGAGCTGGCGCTACTGTATAAGCTGGGTTAACGGCAGCTGCTGCTTCCATGCTGTGCGCTGCAGTTAGGAACACTGGATTTGCTAAAGCGTGCGTGTAAACTTGTGGACCGTATACACCAGCGGCAGCTGCGGCGGCTGCAACTGCACCACTTGTCACTTGCCCATAGAGAGCTGGGTTAATGGAGCCATACATCTGTGCAGCAGCTGCAGCAGCACCAGAGTTTGCAACTGTCCCACTGTAGAGCTGATTGGAAACTGTTCCATACACTTGACTAGCTAGTGCTCCATACACAGCTGGAGCCACTGCAGTTCCTCCTTCTGCCCTTGCTCCAGCAGCTGTAAGTCCAGTCAAAGCAGCATACGTGGGGTCAAAAGTTGAGGTGTTGTATACGGAATTGTGGACACTCTGTTGAACCTGCAGTGGAAGGCCAGCAGCTGCAGCGGCGGCGGCGGCTAACACGGCCGCTTGGCTCTGGTACTGCTCCAGGGTGGGCTTACCAGCTGGGCATTCACCTGCATAATGGCCCTGTTTTCCACAGCTGACACATGGGATTTTCCCAGTTGGAGTCTGCTTACTTGGCTGAACTTTGGACAGCTCCACAGAGAGCGGTCGTCCTTTGAAGGAGGTCCCATGCAAAGCCTCAATAGCCTGCAGTGCATCCTCCTTGTTCTCCATGTGCACAAAGGCATAACCTGCAGAAGAAAACAACATTTTTATTATGGAGTCCCGCTAGTAAATCTCAGAATAATGCAGAAGCATGTGGTACCCTACATGAGCTCTAACACATACTTTAAATTAGGAATATCAAACCTTGTCCCTGGATAGCTATGTTGCTCCGACACATCTGCCTGTTATTTTCTAGCAATCCTGAACACATTAAATAGCTGGTTCAGGTATGTTTGATTAGATCTCTGCAGGATGGTAGCCCTCCAGGAGCAGGACTGACTACTCTTGCATTAAGTTTTTGAAAGAGCTTGATAATCTCTTACCTTTCACCTTATCGCACTCCAAAACTTTCCCAAAGGTCTGAAACAGCTCCCGAAGATCTTCTGTGGTGCACATACTACTCAGATTACCCACAAACACCTTTGTCGAGTGGAGCGGGCGTCCTCGGGACTCCTCAACCACAAGGTTACGTCCTTTGAACTCTCTGCCATTGAGCTCCCGGATGGCACGTTCAGCAGCACCCTCTCCTTGCAGGTGTACGAAAGCAAACTGTCTCAAGACGCTGCAGCTAACCACCTGGCCATACGACTCAAAGATGGCTGACAGTTCTTCTTGCGTGGTGTCCAGGGCCAGATTTCCTACGAAGAGCTTTATCGTTTGGCCCTTATCCATTGTGCTGAAGTTAATGAAAGATGCTATTTCAATAACTGATATATCAAACCAGGACATATTAACATGTGTACGTACAATTTGAAAAGTTAAGAGTACATATTCTCTTACAAAAAAGTAATGCGGCTGTACAATGGTAGGGTTGTCAAAAGTATTGACTTCGATACTTGTCGGTACTGAAATGTTAAAAATGTGATGATACCAGCATTTCCCGCTAGCATTTAGAGCGGATTCTTCTGTGCGCTATCTATGAGCAGATATATTAGGGATCCGCCGACAGACGTGGCATTTTGTCACATTATATACATTTCAGTACCGACTGGTACCAAACGCGGTACTTTTGACAACCCTACCATGGTACAATTATAGTATCAGATGTTAAATATTATTCTATCACGGTACTATAGTACTCTGAAAAATAGTGAATAGTGAATGATTATCATACTCAGGTGCTTCATGCAATACCAATGTACTTTGGTATTTGGCACCATGGTAATACCATGGTTTACAGACGTGCCCAAAATAACAACAGTACCATTGTTTTGTACTTTTTGCTAGTTTTATCTCCCATTAATTGGGGAAAGAAATACATTTCTACATGCGGGGAAAGGTGATAATAGTTACATAATGACATGTTTTTCATAACAATAGTTCAACATATGAAGAGTTTGGTTCCAAAACGCGATAAATGGCATTTTAAAAAAAATTTAGTTTCTGCCAAAATCAGTATTGTATATGGTCGGTATTGAAAACCCCATTTTTAATTTTACGCAAAGTGCGATATCCGCCGAGTTATTCTGTCATGTTTTCTCCCTCTCTTTCCAAAACGCGACAAATGCCAGTCTCCCTTCTCTGCAGAATGCGATATATCCGCTCAACCAATCACAGCACACCATTCCACGCACTGTAAACAGTAATGGCGGCGCTTTGAATAGGCTATCCTAGTTTTCCTCATCTACTTTGTACTTTGTGATCAACAAACAAACTTAGGGCTGCACGATAAATCGCATGTGATTGTCATGCGCATCTCGTCAGTAAGCCGGTTCTGTGATTAATAGTAAATCTCCATCACGTGCTTTCAGATGTATACACAGAGCCGTAGATCACTGACTATGCAATATCGCGTTCATAATCGCAGATGAGTCGCATTCGATTATGAACGCGATATTGCGTAACTTGTCAATTAATGCCATTTATGTTTTTGGTAATACAGCGTATAGCACTAGTCAACTAAATGAATGTAACATGGCAAAGATGAATGCACTTTTGGAAGTTGAATGTGAGGGAAATGTAATTTTGGAATTTCTGTGGTCTAATATGATATTGTTGTTCATGTTCTTGTTCATGATGAAATTTTCTATTATTGCTGTAATTAAAGGTGCTGTATGTAAGTTTTTGACTCTACTAAAGCATAAAAATACCATAATATTTTTGCATATATTTAAGAAACATGCTAAGTTAACATACTTGTTTATTTGAAAAACAATGCTACAGTCAGTTATTCTCCTTTGAAAATGTGCGTTCCGGGCCAGAATGTGGGTCTGTTTTGGTTTGTGAAACCCGCCCACTGCCAGTTTACCCAACTGTATTTCATCACCCCGGGTTGCCAGTTGGCGGAAAACACAGCCTATTTCATTGAATTCATCGTCAAGTGCGCTCGTTCCTGTTAGTGTCGTCAATCTGGCAACCTGCGTGTGTGTCAAGTCTGCGGAGGAGGAGCCGGGTGAAAAAAACCCTCTCCAATATTTTGAATTTGGACTGCAATACCTAGTTCAACCACTCAGTGTCAATCCTACATACGGCACCTTTAATTTATAGCATTAACAAGATGACACGTTTAATTAATTTTGGGAGCGATGACTGATTGAATGTATATTTTAGTCCAGTGCCTGTATATAAGATCAGTATTGACCAAGTTCAGAGGCTGTCATATGTGGATTAACCATGTTGTGTATTTTCAACAGTTTCAATATGAAAAATAACTTTTATATTGATTCAATGGATTTATTGCATTTTGGGAAAAAATTCTAATTTTTTATAATAAATCTTTGAAAATCAAAATCTGGATTTGAATTTTTAATGTTATTATAACCTAAAGATGCTATGTGAACGTTTGAAACAGAAAATAGTGGTTTCCATTAAGGGTGGGGGGGGGAAATCGATACAGCATAGTATCACGACATTTTCCACGGCAATACTGTATCGATGCACAGACACCAAGTATCGATCTTTTATTATACTATTTGGTAGAATAATAAAATCAATTTCTTTACAATCCACTAGATTGTGGTGTTGAGTTTTTTTCTGGTGAGGTCAGCTGGGTCACCTTCAACATGCAGTAAGTTAGTCAAATAAAGAGGGTGGCATCGCAGAAAGTTATCAGGAAAGCTGGACTGCAATACCTAGTTCAACCACTCAGTGTCAATCCTACATACGGCACCTTTAATTTATAGCATTAACAAGATGACACGTTTAATTAATTTTGGGAGCGATGACTGATTGAATGTATATTTTAGTCCAGTGCCTGTATATAAGATCAGTATTGACCAAGTTCAGAGGCTGTCATATGTGGATTAACCATGTTGTGTATTTTCAACAGTTTCAATATGAAAAATAACTTTTATATTGATTCAATGGATTTATTGCATTTTGGGAAAAAATTATAATTTTTTATAATAAATCTTTGAAAATCAAAATCTGGATTTGAATTTTTAATGTTATTATAACCTAAAGATGCTATGTGAACGTTTGAAACAGAAAATAGTGGTTTCCATTAAGGGTGGGGGGGGGAAATCGATACAGCATAGTATCACGACATTTTCCACGGCAATACTGTATCGATGCACAGACACCAAGTATCGATCTTTTATTATACTATTTGGTAGAATAATAAAATCAATTTCTTTACAATCCACTAGATTGTGGTGTTGAGTTTTTTTCTGGTGAGGTCAGCTGGGTCACCTTCAACATGCAGTAAGTTAGTCAAATAAAGAGGGTGGCATCGCAGAAAGTTATCAGGAAAGCCCCGTCCGCATTTAAATCGGATGTATGGACTTATTTAGGATTTGTAAACAAGGAGGGGATGTAAGTAGGGATGCACCGAAAATATAGGCTACATATTATAATAACAATAATAATATTATATATGGCATGTGGCATATACATACATATTTTTTACCCTACTATGGAAGTCAATGGCAACCGCCAACTGTTTGATTACCAGCAATCTTCAAAATATCTTCTTTTATGTTCAACATAAAGCAACTCATACAGGTTTGGAACGACATGAGGGTGAGAAAATGATGACAGAATTTTCATTTTTGGGTGAACTATCCCTTTAGTATTCCGATCTATGACTGTGCGTTCCACTCGTGTACCGCTCATGCTCACCGGAAAAGCAAAGTCCTCTCAAATAACGCACTGACAGGAAATTTCTATGCAGTATACTTGTTCTGGTTTGCGGTAGCGCTACTGTGCTGTAACATGCTGTAGGCTAGTTCAGCTGCACTGGGAAACGCTGGTAAATGATGCTACCTTCAGTGACGCTATGCTCTGCTCATATGCTCTGATAATAATAGCTTTGTAGGACTATACATTATTTGGATAATTAGTCCAAAAAAACAGAAGTTTCGGTTTCGGTTTCGGCCCAGAATTTTCATTTTGGTGCATCCCTAGATGTAAGACTACATGTTTTATTTAATTTAATTTAAATATAACAGTAATTTACTTTCAAATGCCCCAATTGCTGAAGGTTCTGCACAACTTTTTAGTACAATTTCAAGCTGCATTGTTCAAAATACCTGTAGTAGTACAGCAGTGCATATTCGTTTACATTTAATTAAGGTGGACTAGCTTAGACTTCAATACAAATAGTTGAGTTTGCCAGGTGCATACAACATTTATGACAGGTTTTCATGAAAGTGTTGGTAGTTTATTTTATGTGTTTATTTTCAAATATGTGTACAACAATGATCATTACAAATGATAATACAAAACGACATGTTTTAAATGAAGCCACTTTAGGTTACTGCTGATGAGCTTGTTTATCAGAATGAAATTCAGATCAATGGCAGGTTAAAGTGAAATTACAGAAGTGCTATTTTAGAAAAAAAAAATTATTTCTTAAGAGCTTTTAGAATAATTGATAATATTTCACGTGAAAATGTTTACAAATGACACTCAAAAACCATTACATTTTTGATCAGTTAGTGTATAAATAGTTTTTTTTTTACCTTTTTTTAAATAAAATTGAGGCAACACTTTACAGGCAACTTTAGTTAACATGAACTAAGAATGAACAGCATTTATTAATCGTAATGTTAATTTCAACAATTATTATTATTATTAACCGTTTTCCCAAGGCACTGTTAGATTCCAGTGTTTCCTGACATATTTGCCATGCAAAGATTTGATTTCAAAAGCAGTTTCATAGCTATTAAACTATATCTTGTTATGGTTTTAAATCTGTATTTAACCTCAAAATGATCTCAAAGTAAAAAGACAAGCTAAAGTCTGATTTTGTGGTGGCTGCGCTTTAAAACGACATTTTTATAATCTTACACTTGAAGGATTTTGAGAATCTGACAGCAATCAGTGTCGAGCACTACTGTAAGGTTAAATGTTTGAAAATGATAAACAGTTGAAAATATGCATTAGAAATTTAGGAAAGCAATCAAAAAGTAAATGCAATCTTTAAGGTAACTGAAACAGCTACACTACTCATTACATTTTCAATAGGGTAACTTGTAATCTGTAACCTATTACATTTCCAAAGTTACCTTCCCAGCACTGATTAAGCAGCATAGATAATATGAATGTGTCATAGCAATCTGGTGGCGCAGTGCATGTAAACACATTCGCTTCCTCAATGTAGCAGCTCTCGACACAAACCTCAGTTTCATTGTAACCCTGAAAACCGTGTAAAACCCACTCAAAGACGAGTAGCGCGTGCCGAGTGATTTACTGGATGCAACATATTTCTGACAAAACACTGCCATCAACACCACCGCAGTCTAGTTTTGCCTTTTTGATTATATACGTATGTGTGTTTCCATGTGTGCACTATTCATTCTTTCCAGCAGAAATCTCTAGATGACTCATTTGGTTGGGGGTTTTCTGGGTGTCCCCGCGCGCTTCTCTGTAAACCACATCACGCGCTTCATCGGCGATCGTTGAATCACTGAAAACATAAACATATAGAGAGAGAGGCAAAGAATCTGCCATCTTACCTAAGCGGTGCGGGGTTTCAAAATGGTCGATCCACTTCCGTGCTTTAGAATCGCTCTCATTCTTCAGCAGCGCTGATGCAGTCACTCGCACTCCTGCACGCGGACACCGGGGACTGTGTGTCGCGTGCACACCATGCATCTAGTTTTTTTCTTCTTAAGTTAGACAAGCATTTAATACAACTTAACTGAAAGCATCTCAAAGTACTTGAAATGCGCCACGGCACTTATTTTCCGCAGATTATTATTATTATTTTTTTTTGCTTCATTCTCTTTATTTCATATGTATGCATTGCAATATCTTTTTTTATATCCCTGTGATAATGTATTTGTCTGGATAAGAATGTTCTTCACCTCTCTCCGGAGTTTCCGGTTATTTTGGACAGCGAGTGTTTCCCACGCCCCAAATCATCCTCCCCAGAATCCACCACCAGAGACCGACCAATCACATCCCACACCTGCCAGGAGAAACATGTGACCGCATAACACTGCATCTCACAACCAGGGACTAAATTAACACGTGCCTAATCCAAATGAGAGTAAAAACTGCCTTTGGTGAGAAATTCAATACAGCATGTAACTCAGATCCAGCGCTGTTTCAGTATAATTGATGTGCTATTATAGTTTTAGTTAATATTTTGATTTTGTTTACATATATATATATATATATATATACTTCCAGTCAAAAGTTTGGGATCAGACTTGTAATGTTTTTTTAAAGAAGTCTCTTCTGCTCATCAAGGCTGCATTTATTTGATCAAAAATACAGAAAAAAACAGTAATCTTGCAAAATGTTATTACAACATAAAATAATGGTTTATATTTTAATATAGTTTAAAATATAATTTATTTCTGTGATGCAAAGCTGAATTTCCATCAGCCATTACTCCAGTATAAAGTGTCACATGATCTTCAGAAATCATAATAATATGCTGATTTATTATCAGAATTATCAACAGTTGTGCTGCCAAATATTTTTTTGGAACCTGTGATACTTTTTTTCAGGATTCTTTGATGAATAAAAAGTTAAAAACAGCATTTATTCAAAATGTAAGTCTTTTCTAACAATATAAATGTTTGCTATCACTTCTTAATAATTGAACACATCCTCGCTGAATAAAAGTTTTCATTTCTTTCAAAAAAAGAAAGAATAAAAATGTACCGACCCCAAACTTTTGAACTGTAGAGTATATTGTTAAAAAATATTTCTATTTTAAATAAATGCTCTTCTTTTTAACTTTTTATTCATCAAAGAATCCTGAAAAAAAGTATCACAGCTTCCCAAAAAATATGAAGCAGCAACAGTTTCCAGCACTGATAATAAATCAGCTTATTATTATGATTTCTGAAAGATCACGTGACACTAAAGACTGGAGGAATGATGCTGAAAATACAGCTCTGATCACAGAAATAAATAATTTTTTCACTTTATTTCTAGTTAAAAAATGTTTATATTTTTTGTGATTATGATTATCATTGTTTAATATATCTATGTAGTTTTTATTCATTCGATCTCAGTTTTAGTTATTTTAGTACTTCAAGTTAAACTAAATGAAAATGAGAAATGTTACCTTTGCATCTACCTGAAATAAAATAAGCCAAAAGTTTTTAGATTTAATTTTAAGTATGAAAAGTCATGTTTTTCTATGGTTTACTTTCAGTTGTATTTTTTTCTATAATATATGAAAGCCCATTTCCACCACAGGCTAAAGAAATAAAACAGATCATTTTGACTTTCTATCCCACAATTCTGACTTTTTTGACTTTATAAGTTTATATCTGACTTAATGAGTTTATATCACGCATTTCAGAGAAATAAACTCAGAATTGTGAGATAAAAAAAGTTGCAATTATCTGTTTTTATTTTTCATTCAGTGGCGGAAACAAGCTTGCATAATAATAACCCTGCTCAGATCTGTGCATGATTATTTTCAATGACACAGAATGATAAAAGTGTTCAAAAGAGAGGTGTGACCATGAACGTAGAGACAGAGAAGTTAGTCAGTGTAATTAACATAATAACAGAGGCTTTATATAATTACTGTACTTCCAAACACTCTACCGTAGGCTTTATAAACACACACCTGACTGCTCTGCTCTGCTCTTCCTATCAGCTTATAGAGCAACACGAGACTGTATTTAGAGATCTTAATGATTTCATTACCTTGATCTGAGAGTCTTCTAGCCGGAATGAAGCTCTGCCATCAGGACCAGCTGTGATATTCCCCAGATCTCCTACATGCTAGAGACCAGACAGAGACACAGCATTACTGCAGACCACCTCCAGTCACTTCATTTGCCAAGTCAGTGTTAGTCAGAATAGAATATATAACCCTAACCAAAACAAAATAAAGCAAAAAGGGAATTTACAAAATTCTGTGAAATGTAATATAAATAGTATTATAAACATTAATAATCAACACATTTCATTATTAATAAATACATACATACATATATATATATATATATATATATATATATATATATATATAAAAAAAGATATGCATGTACTATTAAATAATTTGCTTACTGCTTATTCTACCACAGTAAATTGCTTAAAAATAAAAAAAATATATAAAATAATAAAATTGCTTGTTTTAATAAATAAGTAAATAAATAAATTAAATTATATTAAATTATTAAAATAATAAATAACAATTATATTCCATTAGGCAAGGCAAGGCAAGGCAAGTTTATTTGTATAGCACATTTCATACACAATGGTAATTCAAAGTGCTTTACATAAAATAAAATAAAAACAATAATCACAACAATAAAACAAAGAATTTAAAAACTTTGAAAAAAAAGAAAGAAAAAAAAATTGATTTAAGAGGTTTAAAAAGAGGCTTAACAACTGCAGTTTTCAGGGAGTTTGGAAACGTCCCAGAAAGAAGTGCGGCGTTCACCACTTCTAAGAGCGGTTAGAAACCCTTTTGAAAAAATATGTGGGAAGTGTGTCAAGATAGCATGTTGACGATTTAAGGTGCTGTACTATTTCTTCCAAAATTTTGCTATCAATTTCTTCAAAAGCAGACATAGTATCTTCTTTAAGGTTTGAGAAGAATGACTGTCTAGCTGTGGCTAGTTCCACATTGAAAGTACGAAGGCTGTCTTTATATATGCTATAGTGGATTTCAAGTTTCGTCTTCCGCCACATCCGCTCAGCTTTTCTGCATTGTCTTTTCATACTCTGAACTACAATTTTTAAATTGTATACATTAATATATACAATTTAAAAATAAATAAAATGTGTGTGTAGTTTAATAAATAAACAAGACACATAAAAAACAATAATAGTAATATAAATAATAGAACATTCATTTATTAAATAGATTAAATGTATATAATAACAAAAACTCTGCTTCTTCTACCACAATATTACCATAGTTTTTGGACATTATACCATAAAATACAACTTAGGCTTGGATATAATATACACCGGGGCTAGTTGTCATCTTAGCAACTATAAGGTTTATAAAAACACAAATGTGTTTTCTCTCCGACAGTGGTTTTGTATGTTGGTTTCAAACAAGTTCCAAAGTGAGACCTTTCCCCATCAAGTGTGACACTGTGCTCTACATGAGGTCAGAATGTGCCAAATAATCATTTCCTCTTGGTGAATAACAATAGAAATATTTGTGAAGCCCATGGCTTGTGCATAGAACTAAAATGTAAAAAATGAACGTACCCTCTCTGAGTCCTGAGGAGCTCCATGCTGTTTCCTGAATGGATTGAAATGATCTCCACAGCTGAGAGAACACGTATATAATAATGATTATACTGCAAAAACTCTGCAAGACAAAGCCATACGCATGCAAAAAAGTATTTAACTGCACTGATTTCAGCTACAGATGAGGTTATGCAGTGTGCATTTTGTTTTTCAGTGTAAGATTTTTAGTGAAATACGACTTCAGTTTGACACATGATCACCAGATCTCATCTTAATCATCAAAATCTAGGATTTCATGCCTTTTAAACCCATTATGACAAACACAGACTGATGCACGCTGCCGACACGCTCTCTAATGGGCCTTGTGATCTAAAGGTTGAAGGTCAAGGGTCGTCGTGATACCTCATGCAGTCCTGTGTCAGATCACCCAGTTCATGCACATGCAGGCCGTGAGCTCCGGGCGTCAGTCCGTCAATCGTGCCGTCAATCAAACAGCGATCCTGTGACAGCTGCAGGAATCTGACCACGCCCTGCACAAGCCCCGCCCCACTGACCATCGCCACGGCAGCGCCCAGGTCTGATACACACACACACACACACACACACACACACACACATGGATGAGAAGCATTAGGCCTGTTCACAGCGGTCACACTGACAGCGTTTGAGAACTCACCTTTCTCTGAGCCGCCCATTCCCTTCAGGACGGCCCGTCTGCCAGTGCTTTCAATCAGACTCTGGACCTGTAGAGAGGTGAGCGCCGTCTCCACCAAAACCTGCTCCTTAGCCAGGTCTACATGCACCGACTGAACTCCTAAACACACAAACATATGAATGAGAGAACTATGGAAGATTGTTTCAGTCATGGGATAAAAAAAATAAAATAAAAAAAGGTAATCGCAACTTTTTCTCAAAATTTAAACTTTACTTCTCAATCTAAATGAGAATGCATTTGACTGCTTTTGTTATTTTGATAGGTAGCCTACATTAAAAGGTAATTTCGACTTTTTAATCTCACAATTCCAACTTTTTTTCAGAATTCCGAGATATAAACTCACAATTCTGAAAAGAGAAGTCAGAATTCTGAGATAAAAAGTCGAAATTATTTTAATTATTTATGTTGTGGTGAGAAAAAAAACATAATTGTGAGATGTAAACTAAATATAAACTTTATATAAAAATATAAATATAAATTTACATTTTATATAAAAATATTAAAACAGTAAGAATTGTAGAATATAAACTCTGAAGGAAAAAATCTGAGGGGAAAAAAAGAATTGTGAGATTTAATGAAAAAAGTAAGAATTGCGAGGAAAAAAAGTCAGAAATGTGAAATATAAACTTGTAATTAAATTGAGAAAAAAGTAAGAATTGAGACAAACTTGTAATTTTGAGAAAAAAGTATGAATTGAGAAATATAAACTTGTAATTTTGAGAAAAAAAGTAAGAATTGAGACAAACTTGTAATTTTGAGAAAAAAGTATGAATTGTAAAATGTAAACTTGTAATTTTGAGAAAAAAGTAAGAATTGATCAATATAAACTTGTAATTTTGAGAAAAAAGTAAGAATTGATCAATATAAACTTGTAATTTAATTGAGGAAAAAAAGTAAGATTTGTAAAATATAAACTTGTAATTTTGAGGAAAAAGTAAGAATTGAGACATAAACTTGTAATTTTGAGAAAAAAGTAAGAATTGATAAATATAAACTTGTAATTTTGAGAAAAAAAGTAAGAATTGATCAATATAAACTTGTAATTTTGAGGGAAAAAGTAAGAATTGAGAAATATAAACTTGTAATTTAATTGAGAAAAAAAGTAAGATTTGTAAAATGTAAACTTGTAATTTTGAGGGGAAAAGTAAGAATTGATCAATATAAACTTGTAATTTTGAGGAAAAAGTAAGAATTGAGACATAAACTTGTAATTTAATTGAGAAAAAAAGTAAGATTTGTAAAATGTAAACTTGTAATTTTGAGAAAAAAAGTAAGAATTGATCAATATAAACTTGTAATTTTGAGGGGAAAAGTAAGAATTGAGAAATATAAACTTGTAATTTAATTGAGAAAAAAAGTAAAAAAAAAGTAAGAATTGATCAATATAAACTTGTAATTTTGAGGGAAAAAGTAAGAATTGAGAAATATAAACTTGTAATTTAATTGAGAAAAAAAGTAAGATTTGTAAAATATAAACTTGTAATTTTGAGGAAGAAAAGTAAGAATTGAGAAATATAAACTTGTAATTTAATTGAGAAAAAAAGTAAGATTTGTAAAATATAAACTTGTAATTTTGAGAAAAAAGTAAGAATTGAGATATATAAACTTGTCATTTTGAGAAAAAGTAAGAATTTAGAAATGTACAGTCTTTACTGCCACTTCTGGTCCTCATTAAATGTCTGAAAATACCCCTACAAGCCACTTTTGTGTTCTTCTGTGCCACCTCTGTACAAATTAATTTTAATACTGATTTCATTTAATTAGTGTGACTTATTCTTCTTATTCTACTTGTTCTTATTCTGCGGTTTTAATAATAATTTTTCAAAAGCTTATAAAATATAATTTTATAAAATTTGACAAAAGATTACATACTTTTAATGAAGTTAGAAAAATGCCATTACAAAGTTAAAAACTAAATTCCACTGTAAATCACTTTAAGGAGTCAAATATCACCTCATAATGGGAAGGCAAATTTTTTGATCAAATTTTGGATTATTGGTTAGAAGGTGCTCCTAAATTTTTTAAGTTAAAAAGTGAAAAAGAAAAATAAGCGTAGAGCCCTGTTGTGGCCGTTTTTCTGGACTTCACTGCACAAATGCTACAAAAATGCATTCTTTTTTGCGTGAAAAAGTATGACATGCTCCGGCAGTAAGTACTGGATTTCACTGCAGGGCGCTGTAAGAGCAAGCAAAGGGTTTGATGCTGTGCTTGACTCACCCGGGTCTTTCTCCAGGACGCCCTTTACTGCATTAACACAGCTGTCACATGACATCTGCACCGCAAACTCCAGCTGCGCAAACACACGAATGACTTGGACAATTTTAAATGTTGCATGCATCTAATGTTTAAGAGAAAGTCAATAGTTAATATTGATTAGATACGTTTTTAAGCATTTGAATCATTCTTTTGCAGTGCACTTAAATCTGCAGTGTGACAAATTCATTTTTAAAAATGAAAATATTTAATGCATATATGATTATGTGATAATTCATAAATAAATAAATTAATTAAATGTATATAATGATACTTAGCTGCTTCTATTAATGTTTTACCATAGTTTTTGGCCATTGCACCTAAAAAATACCATATACTGTATATCACCATATAATAAACTGCATGCAAAAAATAATAAGCATGTCATGCCAGCTGCCTAAATGCAGACATTAATAACTATAATAATATCCAGTAATATTCCTGAATGTTTGACAGTTTCCATGAGTCGAAATATAAAGTGCAAGACTACAACAGCACGTAAATGAAGAGGTAAATAACTATGCAACTCACCAATGATAACACGATATGGAAATTATGCTGGTGATTATGATTTAATCAATAGGAACTTAAATATGACTTTTATGAAAGACGCTATTGCAGCTGACCTAACAAATAATTTTAACACTTTCATATTTAGTGAACGTAATTAAAGTTTCATGTTTTAATCGCTGTTTAGTATTCATATCAGTATTTTCAAAATAATAATTATTTAGTTGATATATTCACACCTTCGCAGTTCTGTTTGTGTCCATCTCTGGCTCGCACGCTGACGCCGACGAAAGCGGAAGTTCCGCGCTCATAAAATATTATAGAATAAAAGTCCTAGTAAGGGAATAGAAAATTACGTTAATAAAATAAGAGTCCCGGGGGAACTTTTGCAAACGCACTGAAGGCAACGCTGAGATCGATTGGTTAATATCACTGGATTTTGTTTAATTTAAACATTAAATCTAATAAAAAATCATATCATCAAATAATTAATTTATAATTGACAGCAACAACTTAAAAAAAGTATTGTTAAAATGGTTAGCCTGATAATATAATATAATATAAAAAGTTCTATTGTATTCATTTATTCTATTAATTTAACATGGTACTTGCAGTTTCTGAGAAAAACAAACTCATGGTTAATCTCTTCTTATTTTATTGAAACACATTTCAAACATTAAATCAAACCTAAATAATTAGATATACAACACAGCATATTCACATTTGCTGATATAGTACAATATTCACAGTTATATTCATGTAAAATCTAAGTGGCTGCTGGCTGTTGTTTCTGCTCTTCATTTGCTTCTGCTGCTTCTGCTGCTGCTGCTGCTAAATGTTGTGGGAAACTGAGGCCTTTCTCCAGAGCGTGGGCTCTCCAGCGCTCGTCATCCGCCTCATGCGTGAGATAGCGAAATCCCATCCGCTGCTCAAACTCACGCAGGTCACACCACATCTGGAAGTTCTGCAGCGGGAGAAACAGACGAGATACGCAGAAATCAGACTGTACATCCAGTCAATGTCCTGCAATGACTTAAACCTGATGGCATTTGGGTTTTGGAGAACGTCACCAGACCTGAAACCATGGATGACCCATGGCTTTGCCAACACTGAACCTGCGTCTCACCACCACCTGCAGCAGGTTATTGATCAGGTTCACCGCTGAGAGAGAGAAACACGTTAACAGAAAGAACCTTAGGTCACCATCTAAAACAATTAAAAGTGTAATTGCAACTTTTCAGTCATTCAGACTTTTAAAGGGGTCATATGATGCGATTTCAAGTTTTCCTTTCTTTCTCACAATTCAGACTTTGTTTCAAGCAATTCTGACAGTTCTTACAATTCCTTTGTGTCTTACAAGTCTTACAAGTCAATTGTGAGATGTAAACTCAGAATTACAAGATATATTCACAATTCTGACTTTTTTCCATCATAGAGTAAAAAAAAAAAAAGTAATTGCAGCTTTTTATCTCACAATTCTGACAAAAAAAATATATAGGTTTTTGTTGAAATGCCTTGGTTATTTTGTAAAACATGTTAGTCGAACAGTGGTATACCCACAGCTGATATTCCTTCAAATTTTGAGCGATGAAGGTTAACAATATTTCAGAAAAAAATCAAGTATTTATAGATCGTTCTGTAATTTTGATCTCCACTGTGTGTGTATATATAGGGTCTCTTACCCTCCAGTGAGATGAGGGACCACGGCTGGCGTGGATACATGAACGAAGCGTTGGTGATCTGCTGATTAATGTCCTCGTCCTCGTTGAAAGGGAACGTCCCACTCAGACTGACGTATAAAATCACGCCCACGGCCCACACGTCCAGAGAGCGATTGTAACCCTTACTACAGATGACCTCAGGTGCCAGATACGCTGGCGTCCCGACGAGAGTGCGCCGGAACGACTTCTGTCCGATGATACGAGCGAAACCAAAGTCACACAGTTTGACCTGAAACAGAGACCACATGTGATCACATTTAGGACTTGTGGATACTAAATGACTCTCCCCCCCCTACATTTACACATTTATGCATTTGGCAGATACTTTCATGCAAAGCGACATACGTTGCATTCAATGCAAACTTTTTCATGCATTGGGTTTTTGCATTTCCCAGAAATCAAAACCATGATTCTAGCGCAGTGCTCAGCTGTTTCAACTTTTATAAAGCTTAAAAGCAATACCTAAATATCTCCATATCCACATGCAATTCTAGACTTGACTTTCAAGCCAAACATTGAAAATCAAGCCACATACGACAGTGTCAGACCTGAGGAAATGGTTCAGGTGAAGCCAGCAGCACATTTTCTGGTTTCAGGTCACAGTGTGCAACGTCCCTCATGTGCAGGTACCGCAGAGCCTCCAAAACCTTCAACACCAACCACAGATTCACAGGTCAGCAAAACTAAAACTTATTTAGTCTCCACTGATTTACACTCCTAAAAATACAGATTCCAAAAGTAGGTTTTGGCAGACAAGCCATAGAAGAACCATTTTTGGTTCCCCAAAGAACTTTCAGTGAACCATTTTTTTTTCTGGGAAGAACCTTTTTATATCACAAAGAACCTTTTGTAAAATGGAAAGTTTCCACTCTCTAAAAGAGGTCATCGGATGCCCATTTTACACAAGTTGATATGATTCTTTAGGGTCTTAATGAAAAGTCTGTAACATAGTTTGGTTCAAATTTCTCAATGGTAGTGTAAAAAACACCTTTTTTACCCAGATTTGTATTGTTTTCCTTTAAATGTTAATGAGCTCTGCTGACCCCGCCCCTCTCTTCCGAGCTGCTCTCAGAGAGACTGTTTACTTTAGCTTGCATTCATCGATGCAGGAAGGCGAAAGGCGATTTGCAAAGATTCATTAAAAAAACCTTATATTCACTTCTTCTGTAGGTGAAGCTGGATCACGAATGATTTGCGCGAACATAAACGCATTTATGTAGCAAACAAACATAATCCACTGCGAGTTCAGCGGCTCAGATGTCGGGAGTAAATGACGACTGCTATGTTCATTATTACATCCAACGGTGAAACACTGGCGGACTGATGACAGCTCACTCAGGGCGGGTCTAAGATAAGACATCAGTCCAGTCTGTGCTGAAACGCTACTGTCAATCAAACTATCGTGGGAGGGGCCTGTCTGTGTGACGTCACACAGACAGGCATCTGAGATCGGCTCGATTTGAGAAAGGGGTTAAGATTTGAGCAGATTAGAAAACACTGGGTGGATTTTTATCATTTATAGGGTGGTTGTGTGTGTAGTAGTTCAAACAACTTGTAAAAGTGCATGTAGTATCCTATGACCCCTTTAAAAATAAAGGTTTTTATTATTAGCATCTATATGGTTCCATGAAGAAACTTTAACATCCATGGAGTCTTTCCATTCAGCAAAAGGGTCTTTGTAGTGGAAAAAGATTCTTTAGATGATTCAAATGTTCTTCACGCTAAGAAAGCAATGGTTTTTAAAGAACTGGTCACTGAAAATTCTTTGAGGACCCAAACATGGTTCTTCTATGGAATTGCTACAAAACCCCCTTTGAAAACTTTATTTTTTAGAGTGCATGAAGAAGGCCTATAGGAAGTGCATTAATGTGCAATTCATGCACAACTGTTTTCAACATTGATAATAATCATAAATGTGTCTTGAGCACCAAATCTGCGTATTAGAATGATTTCTGAAGATCACGTGACACTGAAGACTGGAGGAATGATGCTGAAAATACAGCTTTGATCACAGGAATAAATTACAATTTACAATACATTACAATAGAAAACAGTTATTTTAAATTGTAATAATATTTCACTGTTTTTACTGTATTTTTAATTAAAAAATGCAGCCTTGATGAGCTTAAGAGACTTAAAAAAATAAAAGAATCAAATAAAAAAAATGTAAAAACAACCATGAGATAATGTTCTGTATAAGGTGGTCACAAAAAAAAAAAAAAACCTTCTGACAACGTTCTGGGAACATTAGTTATGGTTATTAAAAAGTACAACCCAAGAGGCCGCTTGGAGAAGCTTTAGGAACAGGTTTCCTGCAAAAATGTAACTAACACTAGAGGAATATTCTGAGTTTCAAGAGCAAACGAGCTTCTTTACCTGGGTGACTAGAAAACGGGTGGTGCGTTCAGTCAGACGCCCGTTCTCGTGAGATAAGATCATCTCTAACATGTCGCTGTGGAGCTTCTCCATCACAACGAAAGTATACTCCATTGTCTTAAACATCCCTTCTAAATGAATGACTCCTGGATGAGACAGTCTCTGAAACACACACACACACACACACACACACATAAGGACGATAAAACGACAACAAAAACAACAACACAATTGTTCGAATTGTGGGAAAAATGGCTTCTCGAACACATACCTGCAATATCGAGACCTCATTTCTGGTCTGTTCCTCGTGTTTAGTGGGAAATCTTGTTTTATCGATGACTTTAATTGCAACCGGACGTCCCGTGTGTCTGTGAGTGCCTCCGTAAACCACCCCGAACTGACCCGAACCCAAAACTTCATCAGAGAAGATCTGATAGAGCTCACTGATGTCCTGCAACACACACATCCAGACGCTTGAATCCCTCTTTGAAACGCAGTGGTTATTTTAGAAACATTTTTATGATAAACAATCGAATCTCAGACCTCATTTCTGGTCTGTTCCTCGTGTTTCGTGGGAAATCTTGTTTTATCGATGACTTTAATTGCAACCGGACGTCCCGTGTGTCTGTGAGTGCCTCCGTAAACCACTCCGAACTGACCCGAACCCAAAACTTCATCAGAGAAGATCTGATAGAGCTCACTGATGTCCTGCAACACACACATCCAGACGCTTGAATCCCTCTTTGAAACGCAGTGGTTATTTTAGAAACATTTTTATGATAAACAATCGAATCTCACCTGGGTCTCCTCACCGCTTTTTCCGTCACCTGGCAAGAGAGGTGTCATTTTATTTGACATTATAGACAACATGAGGATCATAGAAGATGTGGATGAGTTTGTTTCGTCATCAGATTTGGAGAAATGTAGCATTGCATCACTTGCTCACTAATGGATGCTCTGCAGTGAATGGGTGCCGTCAGATTGACAGCTGATAAAAACATCACGATAATCCATACGACAATCAAAATCCACCCACATATTTCTTTAGAGCTGTTTGCATTATAAACTGTGCAGATTTCTCTCCTGATTCAGACAAAATGACTTTTCAATGGAGGAAGTGTAATTATGAATTATGGACTTGTATTCTGACCAGAAGCAACAGTTTGAAGTTAAAACCTCTTAATGATGGATTTGTTTCTTACAAACACACAGCTTTCGCTTCTCAAGACATTAACTGATGGACTGGAGTGGTGTGGATTACTTGTGATGTTTTTAATCAGCTCTCATTCTGACGGCACCCATTCACTGCAGAGCATCCACTGGTGAGCAAGTGATGTAATGCTACATTTCTCCAAATCTGTTCTGATGAACAAACATCTTGAACAGTCTGAGGGTGAGGACATTTTCATTTCTGGGTGAGCTAAGAGTATATTTATATTCTGTGGAATCAGAGACTCATTAATAATTCCCGTCTTGTTGCTCTAACCGGTGTTGTTTGTCGTGTGGCATACGGTGCCCTGCACCGGTCTGAGGGCCTGATCGAGAGCCGACTCCCATGACGGGCCGTCCTGATCCGCAAACACACAGTACACCAGAGATCCCGTCACCAGCTCGAACGAGTGTGCGCTGTTGCCTGGCAACACTGGAATAGTGAGCTGAGCCGAGCCTCGAACCTGCAGCACCTCTGAGAGAGAAATCTCCTGAAATGAAGAACACACAACTATGTTAAAAACTTCATGACAGTCCTAAGATGAACTGTGCGTCAAATGTTGCTCTATTTCACATTATGAAGCGTTAAAGGTGACATGATGCATTATAAAGACTTACAAACCTTATAGTACTTATTGCTGTATTGCTGATGGTACATGGTGATACTTTTCCCATCTAATACCCAGTAGTGACGTTTTCTCTGCAAAGAAAAACATATATACATATATAAATTAATATATAATAAGAACACTTGTAAATATATATATATATAT